ATTAAGTTATTTTTCCAGCTGTGTTTGCTTTTTAAAAGGAATTCATTCCGTTCAGGTATAATAGCAGACACTACCCGGTCGTCTTCTCTGACATGTGCATGTTTTCGTGCACTTGTCATTGTCAGCTCCGGGTTGGATCTGCCCCACCATGCCCTGGGGCTTTGGCAGAGTTTCTTCGCAAGTCATCCAGCATTCATACCATCATGAACCCTAACAGGACCTGCGAACCAGATGATACAAGGTGTTGATTAACATTCCTGTCCTCAGTGGGACTGACATCGCGTGCTGTCACTTGCAAAAAACACAAATAGGGGTGTGTTTTTTTATTTTATTTTTAAAATTCTTTTAGGAGAGAGGCGGTTCCCCCCATCTGTGAGGAGGGTCGGCTCGCCCTCAGCAGGAATTTACAGACTTAATGCGCTGAGCTGTCACCTTAAAACTCCTATCAGCTCTCACTGCTCAGGATTATCGCTGTGTGTTATCAAGGACAGGGAAAGGAGGAATATCCACACAATGCTGCACTGTGTGCACCAGAGCGTCATTTAGATACTGGATAAGACACCTGTTTTACAGTCTTAGAATTGAGGTGCAAAAAAGCGCTTAAATCTCTTTGCCACCTTTAAAGCATTTTAGCAAACTGAGCTTTAAATGAATAAATCTAGTTAATTCAATGCCGAGTTTGATTACACCAGGATTTGTTTAAAGAAGCACAAATTTAGCTTCCAGTGCTTTCATGTCTTAAAACAAATACAGTTTAGCAAGTTTGGAAACTGGAAGTGAATATTTGCGGTTTTCAGTTCTTAAGCCTGCAGACAAATACTCTTTGCATTTGAAATTGAAAACTATAATCCACAGATTTTAGATTTTAGTGTGTCGATCAAAAGCCATTTTGCACAAATTATGTTTAGCTAATTTTAGCGTTTCTGCCTAGAGTCTTTGCTTTTGTTTGTAGCCCGTTGGCGTTCAGGGTCTGTTTAAAGTCTGAAGGTGCAGTCAAGGAAGCTCTCATGCCTCAGGTCCCAACAAGTCACCTCCCTTTATAGGCATCCAAAAAAATTCCTTTTCTTTACAGTGTTATGTCGGTAACTGCACGTAAAATTGGTGTTTTGCAGGGTGAAAGGTGTTGAAGGTATTTTAGTGTGGAGGTGCTATTTGTGATCACCTGGAACCAAATGGAAAAACAAATTCTGCACACAGTTTTTCAGGGATGTTTGACAGAAGTTATTTGCATGAAGAAGATGCAAATGATTGCTGCCATGTGCACACACTGTTCAGTCTATCCATGCGGAGCCACAATAGCTGCTTTGTGTCTCGGATAATTTTCTACTGTCTGATGCTTGTCCACTCCCTCCATCCCACACCCTTTTTTTTTTTTTTTTTTTTTTTTTTTTTTTTTTGGTTTGTGGTATTGAACTGGCACGACAGGCTATTGGAGGTCCATCCAAGGGAGAATAGTCTAAATCAAATGCTTCAAATAAAACTGAAGTCCTGCAGTTTGTTCTCATTATTCTTTCTGGTGCTGAATTGTATCCTGAAGACGGCTCCCTCGGTGCCTTTTATTCCTTAATTATCTCCTGATGGTGGAAGAGCTTTCATGCTCGAGGTTTTCTTGTGATTGTACTGTTTGGGGAAATGGCTGAGGACGTTCTTTCTGATGCCTCCTGGCTTCGGCTGTGTGCTCGGGACAAGTTTTTCCATTGATGCTTTGTGGCGTTGTGGTATGTCCCGCCACTCTGCCTCTGACCACACGCTGGTTGGTCAGAGGCACCGCTAGCTTGAGCAGTGGAGTTCAGTTGGGGTTAACAAGCTTCAGTGGTCCGTTTCTGTACAGCTTAGTCTAAATGAGGGAATGTCTCCTGTTCTGGATTAGTGATCTGTGGGGTCTTTGTGAAAATGAATCTTTGAAAATGAATCTTAGTGCAATAGTTAGCTGTAGCTACAAGATGAGTGGGATTCTAAACTGTTTTTTTTTTTTTAAATCCTCAAATTAAACAGAAAATAAAATTAAAAGTGCAAAGAATGATGTAAATTGAGGTCTGAGCTCTGGTTTGGGTGGGTGCTGTGTGAGGGGTTTTTCATGGGTGGGGTCTGGGTGTAGATAACAGGGCTGAACCAGGAGGAGAATCTTCCCCGCAGACCTCTCTGTGGTGAATGTCTCTGACATTGCTGCCTGCAGGCAGGCATTTTGCAAGAGGTGGTGAAAAAAAATGTGGCGTTGAATGTCAGACAGCAAATGGAGATAGGGAGAAGAAAGGGAGCAAGTTCAGGAACTGAATCGGTGGCTTGAACACTCCCACTTAACTCCAGGAGCCCTCAGTGAGAAGCAGTGTTTCAGGCAATAAGAAAAAGTAGAAGTACACAACATCATCGCCTCTGAACCTGCAGAGGCTTCTGTGTGGTTTTGATAGCTGGCAGCGTGGCGATGGAGCAGAGATTCAGAGCCTACTCCTCTGATAGCATGGGTAGTGATGGGGTGTTCGTAGAGGAGTCCTACTACCAGGGGGTGCTCAGGGCCATGGACCACAGAAAAGGTAGAGTTTGTTCCAGCAGTGCTGCATTTTTGAGCTCTGTGTTTTTCTGCAGTTGCATTCTTTGGTTTGAAAATGGTTCAGTCTGTATGTTAGCTCTTGGCTTGGCTTTGTTGTTTCGTGTATTATGTAAAAGTCCAAAAGTTGTGTCTGGATGTCTGAATTTGCAAAGAGTCAAGTCCGGAGCCTCTCTTTTAACAGATGGGCCACACCCCTTTTTGTGTCACATCTTTTCCTTTTTTATTTTTACTGGTGAACGTTCCTGTCAGACAGAAGAAATCTGTTTTGCTTTAATGTGAAATCCTAATTTGAGGTTTTGCAGCACAGATAAAATGTAGCCTGTTAAAAAGACGTTTGAAGTGACAGAGCCACTGAAATTCTTTAGAAGAAAGAGAGCACCCTATTTTGAGCATTGCAACAAGTCCGTGTAATAACATTCAACATCCCAGTTGCAGGATTTGGCAATGTGACTCTTCCATGCACACTGTTTTTCAGGTGATCTGATATCTTGCACCTTTTTTTTTTTTTTTTTTGTCACAGGGTGAAAATATAAATCTGGGCTAAATCTGCAGCCTCAGGCTACAAAACTCAGCCAAGAAAACGCATTATTAGTCAGAGAGATCAGTAGATCTTGTGTTTCAGTGTGATGTATTCAGCCTGGTTATTTTAGGAATTTTTAGTGCTCCTTTCAGCCGACCTGAGAAACAGAAGTATCCTGAGCTGCTACATTTCATTTGTGCAGAAACGCATCTTTTATGTTTCGTAACACGTGTCTAACGTGTTTGCAAAGCCATATATGAAAAGCCCGAAATCAAAACCAGTGAAAAAGCAGAACTCATCTGTCTGCTTTTGAGGTTTATTTCACTTCTCTGTTGAGACCGCCTCGTGCGTGAGTGTGCCTGTGAGTCATGGACATAAAGCCACCGTGATTTGGGCGTTGGTGCCACGGGATGTCCTCTTCTTTGGTTCCCTCTTCATCTGATCACTTCTGTTAGCTTTGATCACGGAGCAGATAATACTATCAACTTCTTTACAGCATGTCACTGATGAGAAAAAAAACATTTGAACATTAAACATTTGTTTTGGTGAACTGCTCTGTATTTGACAAGCACCCTCATCGCCAACTGAAGCACTGCACCGAAGAGGTGAAGTGTACGTTTGATGGTTATCTCTTCAAGTGGCTGCTTAGATGGCAAAGTTTAGGAAAGGCATTGCATATTATATGTTTGATACCTAGTAGTATATGATAGGCTTGTTGGGAATAATCTGATTATGAAACGACTACAGCATTGCAGGCTGAAACATGTTCCAGCTGAGGTGCTGCTCCAGATGATGACAGAGATAATCTATTCAGTGTTCCCCTGATAAGCAGGGAATTCTTTGTTTTGCTGCAGTAAGTCTTCTGTAATGTGCTGTCCCTATTGGGCATCAGATGTCCGTGTCTGAGTCAAAGTCACATGTGACTTTTTGTTCTGTCCCTGGGCAAAACAAATATGTCTCACACTGTTTGTGACTCTGGGATGAAAAAACAGATAAAAAAGATTTGAAAGAGTTTTGCTGGAGGTTTTAATCTGAAGCAGGGCCATAAAGGCGGTTTAGGCTCAATAAACACAAATTATATTTAGTTTCGGCCATCATGTATCCAGGCCTATGGGTTAGATCAGCGGTCCCCAACCTTTTTTGTGCCACAGACCGGCCTTTAAGGTGTCGCGGATAAATACAACAAAATAAAATCATACGACCAAGACGAAAACGGTGGTGTTTTGTAAACATAATAATAAACGCGAATTCACTGTGTAATTGTGTAACTTTATTAGCAACGTCCTCCTGAAAAGTGGCAACAACACTGAGAGTAACATGCTCTCTGGTCACTATGGTAACGCGTAAATATTTCTTTCAAAATAAGACGCACAACTACCGAGTTAACAATAAAACCTCTGAAAACCATGAATTTCACCCCTGAGCCTCAAGACTCGTGGCCCGGTACCAAACGACTCACTGACCGGTACCGGTCCGTGGCCCGGGGGTTGGGGACCGCTGGGTTAGATGGCTGTATGTAGATGGTGGGCAATGCTTGGGCTTCTGTGCAAAAGTCATAGCCCAAAAAGTTTGGGAATCATTGTTTCAGACTTCTCAAGCTTGATATGGATGTAGTTCCCGTGTCTGTGAGTTATTCAAGGAAACTAGCCTTTGATGAGTATGATATTTAAAGTGATTATCTGCCATTAAGCTAGCATGCAAAAAAGAATGACTCCTCCTGTCTGCTGGCAGGTTAGACAGTCGGAAAGTAGTTTGTTTTGGAAATACAAGATTTCTTTTTGGGGGGTTTTAATAATTGTGCTTATGGTTTGTTTCCGTAAGTCTGGACCACTGAGTTTGTAATACACGATTAGTGATTGTTGTTAAAAATGCAAAATCTCTTAAATTAACACCATAAATTAAACGGAGTGTATATTTGCTGTGTTTCCACAGATGAACGGGACAGAGTTCAGAAAAAGACCTTCACAAAATGGGTCAATAAGCACCTTGTGAAGGTAAGTTCTGCTTCAAACAACCCTCACCCATGAAAATACATACATTTCACTGCAGATAGATTAAAAATCTCCAAAAACCTATTAAAATGTTAACTTTACGTCACGTGGAGTTTATAACTAAACTGTAATTCTCCATGGTAGGTAAAAAGGTCTCCTGCTGTCCTCAAATAACACCAAAAAGCTGGACTTTCTTTCATATCCTATCTGGTTTTAATAACTTAAATTACACAAAAACGTTTTCTTAGGAGATGCGGCGCTATCTGATCTCACTGCTGGGAAACATTACCTGAAGATAAAACTGGAAGAGAATCTGAAACTAAATCAGATTTAGATTCTCCACACCTCCTTTTAAAAGCTTTGGAAAAGGTGAACAACAGATACAATAGCAACCGCGCTCTTTCCGTTAACTGTATGCATGTGAGGGGGTGAGTCACACGCACCTGGCCTCACTTTAGCTTGGCGCTCGGGAAGAGCGGTATCGTTGCCTGGGCTCGGTCAGGTTACGCATCTGGAATCCAGATGGTCGGGGCGGCTCATCAGGACTGTGCAGGGGGACAGGAAACTCCAGGACTCCACGTTGAATTAGTATTTGATTCAGTGTGATTGATTCAGTGTTAAATACGTCTGAAACAACACTCAACAAATGTTCTGACCCTTACCCTTAAAAGGAAATGCTTCTAACTAGGTGAGGAGCAAAGTCCTGTTACAGTAAGAAATATTTTTGGTAGCTATCACTTAGCAGATTATCCCGACTAAAACAGCTTTCATAATAGCAATAATTAAACTGATTTATTAAGCATAACACCAAGATAATAACTGGTTTCAGCTTCTTAAATCTGATTTGCTGCTCATAAATTTTACAGTCAACATAAATTTAACATATCTTAGTTTTGCACCGATGGTCTGACAAAATGAGTGATTTAATATCTAATAGATATTTTCAGTTCTGGGAACTTGTGGTTCTCTGTGTAATTCAGAGGATAATCAAGTGATTAGCAAGATATAGGAGCCCTGAGTTTCAGTTCACTTCAATTTAGATTTAGCCAAATCACAACAACGTCTCTAGGCGTGTTATGCTGGAAAGTAATGGAGAAAACCTTTATAATAAGACAAGGCCCGTATGAGCAGCACTAAGTGATGTGGGAAGGAAAAAACAGTGCAGAGCCAGGTTCTGGGAGGAGCAGCCATCTGCTGTGACGGAAAAGAAAAAGGAGAGCTTAGAAAGATACGAAAAAACACACACTGAAAGTGAGAGAAGACACAGTCTAATGCGAGGCAGCAGTGGTAGATAAAAACCTTGACAGAAATGCTCAGTGCATCATGGGAAGTCCACTTGCAGCCTAAGCCTAGAGCAGCATCAATAAGGGATGGCTCAGGGTCACCTGATCCATCCTTAACCACAAACTCCAAAATGAAAGTTTTTTAAAATGTGGAGGGAGTCTGTCTCAGTAAAATGTAAGAACATTTTGAACTAATCAGCTACTGGTTCGTGATTTTTTTATGTAGTAATTAGAAATCAGAATAATTTAAAATGTATTTTTGCTGCCTTAAAACGTAATGATTACTTGTAATGAAATGATTTCATGGGTGCCTTTAGTTCGTTAGTTTATTCCGAGCGACCGTCCAAAACCTAAGGAAAGTCCAAATCGAATTTTCACATCTATGACATAAGACAGGAAATGTTTACATTTGAGTCATTTTATGAGTCACTGTGTTACTCATAAGTGGAGAAGGCAGGGATTTCTTAAAAGAATCCTTTAAAAAAACAAAACTTGTCATATGTCATGTTGCTATGACAACAGGAAAATAATAAAGAAATAAAACGCTAACTTTGTATGTTGGAGTCTCAGGTTTCGAGTATTAGCAGGTGTTATATTTCTATAAGCAGATTGGCTCTGTCTCATAATTATTTTTTAAATAGCTGATGTATAAACGTGGCCAAAGATTTAAATAATGAAGTCAGCGTGAGTCAGAAGCTCAGACCCAAGACTGCTGTAAACACTCAGCTTTAAGCATTTTTCTGCTCTTGGCTCCTTTTGATGTTAATAAGAGCTCCTATCCTTATATGATCATCCGTGTGCCTGAGGCCCCGCCCACCTGAGGCTCACACCTTCTGTTTGCAAAGAGAAGCCTAACAGAAGCAAGTTGCTTTTGATCAGGTTATATTAAACAAGTTATTTTTAATATTTAATTTAAAATTGAACCATCGATTAGGGAAAGAAAAAAAAACAGTCCTATCTGGGCGGTGTCAGCTGGACCTTGTTGCGTCTCTACAACGCTTTCATGTTGATGAATCCTTGTTTTAACACGGGAAGTGAAACGTGTTAAAGAATGTCTGCTGTCGTCCATGTGTATCCTGTGATACCGGGCTCCGTCCGAGATGACTCCCAGGCTTTGTCCATAGTCACTGTTTATTTCTCGGGTAATCCCTCTGATTTAGGTCCAAAAGACTTCAGGCAGTCTGGCCCTCGAGTCACTTTGGACTCATGGTCACAACAGAGTCATGAGATTAAACTATGAGGCCTGTAAGTCTCACGGTCAGCTGTCTGATAAATGCTATCTACTGTAGCTTGTTTTACACTTCACTTCAGATTGTGAGGAATGAAAAACAGACGCTGTTCTGTGTTTTATAAATCCTTTTTAGCTGGGTCAATCCCACTGAAACCAGTGCAGATCATAGAGAACTAAAGTACATAAAATAAAATTAATACAGCGACATGCACATGTTTCTTTAGTTTGAGGGATAGAAGGAATCAAATTAAAGAATTTGAAACGGAAAGCAGCTGACTGTCCTTGTTTATCCATCAAATCACACCATCTGTCTCGCTGTTCCCACTGTCCTTTTAAGTTTTACATCTTCTCACATCAAACTGTTTCTTCTTTCCATCCTTCACCCTGTCCTCCTGTTCTTTCCCACCAGCATTGGAAGGCAGAGGTAGGTGCTGTCTGTGAGCAGAGAGCTGCGTGGACACACACACATTTGTTCCTCCCTGCATGTTTGTGTTGACATTTTTACCCTCCCTTGCCCTCTCTCCCTTTCATCCACCCTCTTTTACTGCTAACCTCTGATCCTTCCCCTCGCTGACTTCAGCTCTTTTCTGTCTACTTTTGGAGCATTTTCTGCAGTGCAGCATGTGTCTGCATGTTCTTTGGCTACAAAAGTACAAAAGTGTAACTACAAATAATAGTAAGGAGCACCCTTTTTATTACTGTGGCAGGTAATAAAAGGGGTGAAATCCTTAAAAAGCCAGAGCAATTTGCTTCTGCAGAAGGCAGAGAGTAAAAGCAGTCCCCCATTGTTGTGTGTTCACGTTTTTCTTTTTATCTTAATTTGTTTGTAGATGAGATTTATGAGTTACAAAGTTACATTTTGTTTTCCGTTGTCAACTGTGAGGAACTCTCAGCAACTGTTTGTGTCGTGTGCAGTGATTCAGCACTGGTGCTGACATCATGGGAGTCTGAATGAAAAAATAATGTCCCTGTATGCATCAATACTGATAAAACTGGTTTCTTTCCTTTCTTTCCAGGCCCAGCGACACATCACTGACCTGTACGAGGACCTCAGAGATGGACACAACCTCATCTCCCTGTTGGAGGTGCTCTCTGGAGAGACTCTGGTAAGCTTTTGGTGGTATTTCACTTCCGATATTAGAATTTGTGCTTCTTCTGTAACCCCCTTGTCTTGTCTAGGCATTTCTTATCATCCCAGCTCTACTGCCCTACTCAGTGTATTTGCTGTAATCTTTGTTCTACTGTCCAGTCTACTCATTGTTAATTCAACCGCTTTAAATGTTTATAAGGCAGATATTACTCTGGATTTCTTCTTTCCACTTCTGCATGTGTTGACTTTAATTCTTTAGAGATTTTTGGACATTTCAGTACATGCTGAGGCTGTGCACACTCTTTTACTTTACTTAGCTTAGCACTAGTCTTTTTGGGAACACACCTTCTGGTGATGTAACCTTAAAACACTAATTTCATTCTTTGCTTCCATCGTTTAACCTCTCTGCACTGACTTGTTTGATCCCTGGTTTTTCCTTTGTCTAATTCCTGTTTGCTGACCTTTGCCCTGACCTTTCCCCCTTTGCCTCTGCCTTCCTCTCTTGCGATGCTCTTGCTGTGGTAGCCGAGGGAACGTGACGTTGTGAGGAACGTGCGGTTGGTGAGTGGCGCCTGGACTGTGGCTGGCTGCCTCCGCGGGCGTAGCATGTGTCACCACCCCAGGTGGCTGCTGGGTTGTGCATGATGATGGTCACACTCCCTGTGTATTGTCCCTTTCTGTGTCAACATTGTCCTCTTTCATTTTGTCAGTGAGTTGGCAGGTTCAGGAGCCATGATAGGAAACGTGGTTAAATTGGTGGCTTTATTCAGAATATTTGTAGTAATTATTTTAGCGTTTTCGTAAGTAAACATTAAAGTTAGCTTTCTTTAAGAATAGAAAAGAATAAACTAGAAAAATATACTGTTTTTGTTCTTAATGTAGCTTTATGTCCTTACCTCGTTAAAGGGCTGTATCATAAAAAGTGCAAAGACTCCACCCATAAAAATTAAGAGACATGCCTGATTTAATTTGTCAAGTTTCCCCTTCAAGATCTTCTCCTGGTGCACCTCTGGATCACTTCCAGCATGGATGCCACTTTTAGATCACTTCACCATGGAAACCACATTATGACTGCTCGTATTTGTGCATCAGCAGTTTCCCCAAAGACCTCAGTGTGTCAGTATGTTTAGACTTTTCATGTCATGTCTGGTCTCGGATCCAAAGACACAAAGCAAGTTTTCAGGAAAATAATGCACGATTTCCAAGTATGAACATTGTGGATTATGAAAGAAGCTCAGCTTTTCTTTTAAGTTTTCCACGGGGCTCTGCATCACAAGTTCTTCTGCTGTCAGACGTTTGACCTTAAAATCCAAAGATGTCCAAATAACCTGAACTGTGATTGAACTGATCTGTGTTCAGACTTATTGGAGTCTGCTATAACTCTTAAAAAATAACTGTTAACATAATTAGTAAAGGGCAGGATTTGTTCCTATGTAATAAAAAAATATGTTAAGTTGTTGTTTTTTTATGGTTGGAGTTTCGCAACTTTATGATTGTGCCTTGTAGATCTGAGAAAGCTGTACATCACAGATTACAGAAGTGTACAAAACCAAAGTTTTCATTTAGAGAATGAAAGTATTTGACAAAAATGGTTTGTGGTCTGGGTTGGATTTTACAGCACAATTATATCAATGGAAAATGGCTGAATATACCAGCAGCAGTCATAGCATGTGCTTGTGCAATGAGGATTGATTTTGAAAACATTGCTAGACATTCCTGTTATATAAAGGTTGATTGACTTGGGAGATTTCCAGGATAGAGAGTATGAATTTCTATCTTCTGTTATAATACTTATTTGTAGTTGATTGTCCTTGTCCTTTTAATAACTGTTTATTATCATCAGTTTCAAATGGTGGTTTCTTACACTGTAGTGAAATCAAAGTCACTACAACCTAATTCTGCAGCTTAGAACTTTGAGCACGAGTGCATGTCAGGATCGCCACTCCTATAATTTCTAAGGCTTAAGAGTTCTTGAACCTTATGGAATCTGCTTGATTGGATTGCACTGCAGATAAAAACAGAAAAGCAACATTTATCAGTCATCAGTTGACTCGGGGCAAAGTGTAATAATCCATTATCCAGGGAGCAGTGTTTGAAAGGTCTTGGAAAAAAAAGAAGAGTTGTGACTGATGATTGGGAGAATCACTGAGAATGTTTATCATTCATTATCATGCTTTCACCTGCAGACATCTTGGCTGGATCTCTGATGCACTTCAGGGTCTTGTAGGGTCAGCTCTGAACGCTTTGATCACAAACATGCAGAATTTGAATCACACTTCAAATTTGCTTTCTTTTAAATTTAAGTTTTCGAGTCCATGACTGTGAAAATATGTACAGTAGAGAATGGATCTTTGTGTTACTGGAGCCTGAAACACCTGTTCCTCAGTCATGGGGCTTTGCTGTTTGCTGACCTAAAGTGCTCCCTTCACTTCATGTTTGGTCTCATCTGGTCTCTTACAGCCTCGGGAGAAAGGCCGTATGCGCTTCCACAAGCTGCAGAATGTCCAGATCGCCCTGGACTTTCTCAAACACAGACAGGTAGTTAAGAAAAACAACAGTTTCATATTATGTTTTATTTTACTTAGTATTCAGCACAGTAAAAATATTTTTATCCACACCCTTTCAGGTCAAACTGGTCAACATCAGGAATGATGACATTGCAGATGGAAACCCCAAGCTGACCCTTGGCTTGATATGGACCATCATCCTTCACTTCCAGGTAATGTAGGACACTCATAAGTCATTTTGCTGTAAATTACTGTATGGCAGTAAAGCTAATCTAGAAGCAATTGGCAGTCACTATGATAATGCTTCTGGGCAATCTCACGTTAACAAACCAACCTTTACTCAATGAATGTAGAGAGAACTGCAGTTTTTACTGTATATGGAACACAAGAGACACCTATAGAATCACAGGCCAAATCTAATTAAAAAACATAAATTAGATAAATGGGTAAAGGTCATTATTATCCCAAAATTAAGTTTTTTTTGTTCCTTATTAAAACTTTATTTACAAACCACAGCTCTGACTCATTCCACAGCAGGTCTGAACAAACATGCTACTTCATGCTGAGGCTGCCATGATACCATAAATGTAGTGGTTAAAGGACTTAATGATAATTATTAGCAATGATGTTTTCACTCAAATTCATGAATAATTGCACTTAACTGTTCTTTGGAAAGGTATTAATGATTTATCATTGTCAGCACGACTGTCGACAGCGACCAGCAACTGATTAGCTGTTAGCATGTCTATGCTAGCTACCTATTATTAATTTGGCTAATAACCAACAATGGGATTAGAGACCACACTTACTATTAGCTTCTCCTATTTCAGTGATGAACTGCACAAAGAAGCCTTTCTGTTATCTAAGGCTATTTTAATATGGCTTGTCTCTGTAACAGCACTCGAACACTTTAGTTCAAAACTTTCTCGATTTTTTTTTAGCACGAGTAGCAAAGCAAAGCAGCAGACAAACCTTATCTGTACTCTTGCATTTGTGCATAAATACAGTTGGGTCGAGTTTCCTGGCTTAGCTGTTATAAAGGAGCTGATTGTTTGTATTGATGGTGTTGCACTGTTCTGTAGCTTTACAGTCAGGATTTTGTAAGTGCCCTGGCTCTGCTCAAACTCCGAGTTCTCAGCATGAACTGACTGATGCCTGATGGGACAGCTGAGTCGTATCTCCTCAGCTATGATGTGTTTTACTTTTAAACTGCACAGTTAATAGATCTGATTATTCCACTGGATGAGTAACATGCGTTTTATACTTCATTGTAATTATTTTGCTTCTGTTTTTGTGGTAAGGAAATTTAAAGTGCTGTTCCCTTTTTGGGAATCAGTGAAGGCTGATGTTGACACAGCAGTTACAGTAAAGTGAAGTCCACCGGCCAATCGTTTCCAAATGGAGGTTATTAGACGTTTGGCAGAAGATGGATTGTCACATGCCTGTGAATTTCAGATGCATTTTTGTAGCTATATAGGTTTCCACCAAACTAAATATAAAGGTTTAACTTCCTATTTCATAACATAAACAGTATAAAATTGCTTATACTGCCTATAGCAACACACGCCACATTGGAAGAATCAGTCGGCAGGCAGATGTCTTCCTCATCTGGGAGAAAAGAGTGGGAGTACTTTCTTTGATGCTGTAATGACTGTGATGTTGAGATGTGCATGTGGGATCAGTCTCTGTGTCCCTCAGTATGACTCAGTGATTCCCATGGGAAAGCTGGCAGGAGACGTGGAAGCTCAGGCCTTCCTCAGAAGCTCAGGCCTTCCTCAGAAGCTTTGCAGTGGGGAAAACAGAAATGGTCACTCACTGCTAATCAGTGCATAAAAGGTTGAATATTCTCTTTGCTGTAAAGTAGTAAAGCAAAAAAAGTCATCTAACAGACATTATTTCATCAAAACAAATCCAGAATTTTTTTTCAGCACATGATGTTATTAAAAACAATGGTGGATTTCCTCTGAGCTCCCCAGGTGCAGCTCACAGCTGACTAATGCACACAGGTGATTTGTCTATTAATAAAAAAATAATGGTCCGGCTTTGTGACAGAGAAAGGGGAACGTTTTAAAACGAGAGGCAGTGAGGGTGGAGGTCCGGTTTCCACCCGCTGTCTGAGTCATTTTGTGCCCACGTTGTAGCACAGGGGCTTCCCTCGTCAAGGAAAAATAACATAAGGAAGAAATGCCTTCTTTTTCCATTCTCCACCCTTTCCTGTCAAAAAAATGTAAGTAAAATTATTACTTCTGCTGTGACTCATCAGCCTTCCCCAAAACACTGGAAACGGATTGTGGTGGCGAAGCTGCGCTCGTTCCACTTATACACCATGAAATTTTAGAGCGGTGGAAGTCACTTAACCCTAAAACAACCAAATGATTCTAGCGACTAAAACGACCAAGCGAGGTCCTGCAGGAACGCTTACTTTATGATATCCTGAAATTGTTGTAACGGCATTATGATTTTCAAGCATTTTTATGTAAAAAAAATTACATTGCATTTAAAAACTTGAGGTGTGTCATTCTGACACCAAATATGAATGAACTGGCGACTTCCTAATACTTTTACTTTAATTTGATGTTGATCAAATTGTCATAAATATTTTAAATACGGAAACATCTGAAAAATAGTCAGAACAAGATTCCTAGTTGTAGAATAATTACCAACAGTTACAATAAAATCGTTTAAAAAAAGCCTACATCTCCATGATGACAAATGAATCCATAAAACTAACATTAGATTGACAAATCCATGGTATGTACATGTTTACTATTGAAAATATCAGAATTGCACATATGATTCCACCTGATCAATTAAAGCTTAATGCATCACCAGCAACTAAAATATAGTAGACTCATCATACTCTTGAATGTTTTCTGGGTGTTATTGTTGTTAAAAGTCAGAAGGTTCTAATACAGAGACAACAAAAACTTGCTGATGTTTTGTTAAATCGTGCAGCAGGTTGTTTTTTCTGCATTGAGAAAAGAGGCAAAAAGAGTTTTCCAAAAGATTTCCTTTAATTGTTACAGCATGTGCGTAGTTTAGGTGAGACCTCCGCCCATCTGGTACGTGAACCAGGCAAACAAATACCAAAAACATTCAAAAGCACCATTTGTACCACACTGGGAAACTTCTGGGTGATGGATTCATGCTAATGGTCACACTCCGTCAAACAGCTTTAAAATGTGAGCAGTAAAATTCATGTCCAGGAGTTCAAAAGCTGAAACTCTAAAAAGTGGTCTATTCTGTCCGTTCTCTTCTTTTATGAAGATCAACCATTTTGCTGTGGGAAACGTTGGTAGCATGCTCGTGTGACTCATAACTTAGCCTCGCAGCTCTTAAAAAAAGACGTTTCCTGTGGTGTTTCTGCTGCACGGTCCAACTTTCGTTTACAGCTACTGAGACATTTATTGTAAAGTTTTGTTTGGCACAACAACACTGTAACTTTAGAAGATCATCAACTCAGTCGCTCATAAACAATTTCGCTCTAAAATTACTGTTTTCTGCTCGTGTAATTAAAAAGCATCCTCCAAAAAGCGAGCTTAATGGATGTCAGGAGCTCTCCGAGCAAAAGTGCCGTGTAACATTTGAGGTTTAAAATGTGACTCATCTCAAATCTGGAAGAAATGAGCAGGGAAAGTTTTACTCTGCCCTCCAATTAGCATTTCAGTCTTAGTTAATCTTTAAATGTGAACCTCAAGACAAGTTGAAAAATAATAATCATCCCATCCATCCATTTTCTGCCGCTCACTCCGTGTTCGGGTTGTAAGCAAAGAAGTCTAAGCAGAGACATTAGAGTAAATGTCATCAGCCACCACCTCCAGGTCTTCCAGGAAAAGAAGACCTCTTAATAAATATCACCTTTTAAAATTCCTATTATATAGTTTTGCATCTCTGCCGCTTTCTTTAAAGGAAACAAGAACAGGAACAAAATGGTAGTGTACTAGCTAATACCACCTTTGTGCAAGAACTGAATGGGAGAAAGTTGTCTAGGAAAGCCACAGACGAGCTGTGAACACAGTAACACAAGTCTAACGGATATGAAAGGAGATCTCTGTAGTTCGTATGACTGACTATTTGCCCGTCTTGCCCTACAGATCTCAGATATTCAGGTGAACGGTCAGTCGGACGACATGACGGCCAAAGAGAAGCTGCTGCTGTGGTCTCAGAGGATGGTGGAGGGATACCAGGGCCTGCGCTGCGACAACTTCACCGGCAGCTGGAGGGATGGCAAGCTGTTCAACGCCATCATACACAAACACAGGTGAGCAGCATCCTCAGTGAGGTGTTTTGATTATAACTCGGCCTTGCGTGAATAGAAATCATGGCCATTTGTAGCACAGAGGTGTTTTTCAAGCCTCACAGACACATTTTCTCATTGGAAAGACTTGCCTGGACTTGGGGATCTTGTAACACCGCAGGCAGGAATTTTACACGTTTAACCTTTTGCATATTTCACGTTGTTGTTTCTTCCTTTATTTATCGGCATAGATCCAGGCAGCAATCCTAAATTCATATTTGAATTTGGCATTCGTGCAGTGTTGGACTTGTCAGGACACAAATATGGAGCACTTACTATAAATCAAACATTAAGAGAAAAGTCAAGGGAGACTTCATTCATTATTTCATTCATTCATTCTGAATTCAGATATTTTGTAACTAAAAACATTTCCTTAAACTCCAGTATTTAACATTTATGAGTTACATCTAAATGCATGATTTTCAGCAAACTGTAACTTTATTAGTATAATTTCATTAGTTAAATTATGTATTTTTGTTTGCGTCTTTAATGCTATGATTTACTGGGACACTTAATTTAACTTGTGAGCTCTTATTAAGTCCACCTGTGCGTGCCTTGCTGTGAAGGAGGTACAATAACTGAAGCAGTAATAAACTGTCTCTTCAGATATTCTGTTATGATATCTTTACTTTTCTTTTTTCTTTTTTTGTGCATCGTTTTGCACATGCTGCTTGTGCTTGAGTCACAACTGAAGAATTTGTGTTGACAGATACCTTAACAGTTGGTGATTAAATACAGTAATTAACACTTGTACAGTACATTTAAAAGCACTAAATTTTACTTTCAGGCACAATAAACAGCTTTTAAATAAGGTAGTTTAGGGTAAAATGTGTCAGACGCTGTACTGTACGGCATAAAAGGACGCTTTAAAAACCATCTGTGATCAGTTTGTGCAAAGCTTTTTAAGTTTCTATAAGAGTAGAAAAGATGTATATAAAAGGATATAATTGACCATGTGGCTTGCAGGAGTTTTTATTGGATGTAACATAACTTCCAAAGAAGCTTAATCAGATTTTCTGCTGTTCAACATGTCCCAAACAATCTCTGGTTCATCAAAATAAGGTTAAATAGAAAGTAATTCGGATGGAAATGCTTTATTTTGTTGTATGTATGAGTAAAAAATAGAACAAAATAAACCATTTGCTGCTGTTCAAAACTGTCACTATAAGAAGTGTCGTGACTTTAAGTGTACTACAGCTGCCGTTGTCCTTGTCAGTAAGGAAACTGGTGTTTAACAGCCACCCATCAAACCCGAAGGAGGTGACTATACGCTCGAAACATGTACTTTGGGTGGAGTGCCACTTTGATTCTGTTTGCACAAACCTCCAGCTCCTGCAGCACATGGCAGACAAAACAGCGCACTATTAGAAAGTCGACTTGAGCTGGCATTATTCTGTGAAATAAGAGACAGAACGGGTGTATCATATTAAATTGAGGAAAAAAGGGCTGCCCTGGAGGTGGAGGCTTGGCAGGTTACAGCAAAACGCTAGCACTCGAACTCCTCTGCCACAGTTTCTTTCTTGGTAGAGGAAGAGAAGGATGTGCTGAGGACTGCAGTGAGGACTCTAAAAAAACAAAATAAGAAAACGGACAATAACTATTTGGATCCCAGCAGGAAGCGGCAAGACTGGAATTTCTAACTGGTTTCCATTGCGTCACGTTTTGGGGTTTTTTTTTAATTAGCTTCTGCTTTTGCAAAATCAAAGCTTGGAAACTTGGCTCTTACTACGATGCACAGCCTGAAGAGAAAGTTCCGCTCGAAGAGGCGTCTGAACAGCGCCTCCAGCAGCACGTTGGGCTCCCTCAGTGACCTGGATGAGCGGGTGATCATGTTCTGTGAGGATGTTCCCAACGAGAGCTCATTTGACTCGGGTCAAAGCTCGCACAGCTTATGTGCCCGCCCCAGTCGAGGCTCCCAGAGCGAGGAGCAGGAGCTAGGATCAGAGCGTCACGTCATGCACCTGAGCAGAGAAAGACACTCCTACAGACAGGCGCGCTATGGTGACAGAGAACCCCAAAAGGAGTTCTACATACAGAGAGTTGTGGAAGTGTATGGAGAATTTACTGGATATTCTGTGTCCTTATGCAACCTTTCTCTCTGAAGTTTATTGGATTTTGATCCCTTAAGATGCTCTGAGCTTGTTCCCGCATGTTATTACATTGCGGTAAACTTCCTGGCAAAGTGCACAGAGAAAAAAAACTCTGTGTTGTTTAATTTTAATCTTCATTGTGGTAGCAAGTCTTGTCTTTGCCTGCCCTTCATATTGTAATAGAGATACTAGACGTGACCAGCTAGCCTCCAGCAACTTGACTCATGAAATATGTAACTTGTATCATTTTAACCTGTCAATAGAGCTTCAGAGATTATTTATCAATTAGTGTTTTCATGAAAAAAATGGGATTATTAAATAGTTTTCAGAAGCATTTTTGCTGATATTTATACTGAAAGCTGATATTTTTTGCACATTTTAGGACATTTTTTATAATTTAACACTCAGATTAAGCCCAACCTTGTTAATTTAGCCTCATGTTTTCTTGCCGTCATCTATAATTTAAATCAAATTTGGATCAGCAGTAATAAAGTCTGTTGCTCTGATTCCGCTCACTGTTCTTCCTGGCTGATTGCTGCCTGCAGACCCTCTCTGATCGATATGAGTCAAGTGTACCGACAGTCCAACCAGCAGAACCTGGAGCAGGCCTTCAGCGTGGCAGAGAGAGAGCTGGGTGTCACCAGACTGCTGGACCCCGAAGGTGAGCACAGTCACCCTCAAACATTTAGTTTAGGGAACACTTAAGCATGAGTTTAGTCACTTTTAATTGTAGGCAAAGCGTTTTCCCTTTCCTTTAATTCTCCTGCCTGCACTGCTGTACGAGTGGAAATCTACATATTAGCTGTTAATAGTTTGATATTTATATGCTGCAAAACGGGAACGAATACATGAGTGAGTGTTTTTGTGTTTTAATATTTCAGAGGTCCCACAAATAGACTTGGTATTCAAGTTGGTAGCTAAGGAACTTCAAGTCACCACTCATCCATCTTTTTCATTTCCCTGAAACATGACAGTTTTTTTCCGTCTTTGTTGCTCTGTACAGATGTCGATGTGCCCCATCCAGATGAGAAATCCATCATCACATATGTGTCCTCTCTGTATGATGCCATGCCCAGGGTACCAGACGTCCAGGATGGTGTCAAAGCCAATGTGAGCCCACCTTTTTGTCATCACTGATTAATTATTCAGCAGCAGAGGCAACATCTCGGGTGCCGCCTTTTATCTGCAGCAGTAAAATGCAAAATATAAATGCAATATTAAGAGTTATTCTTATTTAAATGCCCTGAGCTTGCATTATAGTCATTATAAGCTTGCATTTACTTATTATTATTATTATTATTATTATATGTAAAATACATAGAAATGATCATCCTGTTAATTTTGAAGTTGCAGCCTGAGAAATTTAGCACAAAAGAAATCACATGTGGACAATCTGGAAAACATCAGCATGTAATTATTTTGAACATCTGTGCTTCAGGAGCTGGAGCTGCGTTGGCAGGAGTACTATGAGCTGGTCACCATGCTGCTGCAGTGGATCAGACACCACATCCTCGTTTTTGAGGAGAGGAAGTTCCCCACCAGCTACGAAGAGATTGAGGTGACTAGATCGCGTCCTACAATCTGAAAGAATCAGTGTGACACAGATCAAGTAGCTGACGATCAACGTGTTTTTTGTTCTTTTGTTATTTACGTTTATCATCTGCAGGTTCTTTGGCGTCAGTTTCTGAAGTTCAAGGAAACGGAGCTTCCTGCCAAAGAGGCAGACAAGAACCGCTCCAAACACATCTTCAAGTCTTTTGAGGTGAGATTTCCCAGCAGAACAAAAATCAGCAGTCACAAAAAATATGAAGGGATGAAAAGCTAATATTTTAAATAGTTATCCCACCAAACCGCAGCACATAACAAATAGTCTTGGTTCCAAATACATTTCTGTATTTGTAAACGACAGATAAAAAGAAGATAGATTTGCAAAAGCAAAGTGCAAAACAAATAGAAAATAGTGTCCATTTATTTGCAGTAATAAACTAAAATCCCACCTGTTTTTCCACGCTTACAAAAGTCACTAAAAAAATACATAAATTAAAGGACATCTTTCCAAATACTGCTATGTCTACGGCCCACTGAGCGTACCCCTTCAGTCTGAAAATCTTTTAAGGAAAATCTTCCCACCATCAATAAATTAGACCCAGTTTTATAAATGTTTATTTTTTCCCTGGAGCACAGAATTATCGCTTAAGATAAATAATCTGAGACTGAGCAGAATTTGAGGCCTTAAATGATCACAGATATTATCTTACGTTTTTTTGTATGTTGTTTGTTATCTTTCGCAGGGTGCGGTTCAGGCTGGTCAGGTCAAAGTGCCGCCAGGTTATCACCCTTTAGATGTGGAGAAGGAATGGGGTCGTCTGCATGTCGCCATCCTGGAGAGGGAGCGTCTCCTCAGGACTGAATTTGAGAGGTAACCAGGCTGTTATCCAAACCTCATCACATGCGCTGTGTTGCCAAAGCACAAAACGGCAGCAAAACCACAAAGCATGAGGAAACTGTTCCAGTTTGACCACGAGCATGACTCATTTCCTAATGATAACGTCCACTTTGGCAATAAAATTAAACTGAGTCGGCTTTGTGGATTAGTAAGTACAGATCATATTAGGGCAAACACATGATGGCTGTGTCGTCTCCATGGCAATAGCCTTAGACTAAATAGTCTCTCATAAAGTTGTTGTCTAATCACAAGGAAGGGAGGGCACAGCTTCTAGTTTAGTTGTTTCAGATCATCTCTGCATTGCTGGGCACACACAGCTCAAAAAGGAGCAACAACATGGCTTTCATGCATCAGGGATATGCGTTAAAGTATTTATTCCGCCAGAAGACGGAGTGAGTGCTTTAATATATCCTTTCAAAGTTTTTCTTTTTTAAATTATTATTAACATTTTTACTTTTGAGAAAGAAGAGAAAGTATCCTGTAGGGAAATCCCTGCTTGTCAGTCTGCACTGTTTGAATTCTTTTCTGCCCTCTGACCTTTCATCTTCCCTGCAGGCTGGAGCGACTTCAGAGGGTTGTCAGCAAGGTCCAGATGGAGTCAGGGGTGTGCGAGGAGCAGCTCAACCAGGTGGAGACTCTGCTGCAGACGGTGAGACACAAACTCTTATGGACGGCCAATAAAAGCATCTTTGTGCAAATTATTTGCAGTAAAATAAAGAGATGTGAAAACTTGTCTGTTGAAGGATGTGAGGCTGATGAGCTCAGGGAAACCTGCAAAGCACACAGCAGAGATGGAGGCAGATCTGGAAAAAGCAGAAGGGATGATCCGCCTCCTCTTCAATGACGTTCAGCTGCTAAAAGATGGACGCCACCTCCAAGCTGAACAAATGTATCGCAGGTAAAAAAGAAATCAAGATCTACAGACATCATGGGATTTAATCAATTTAATTAGTAATTTTTTCCTTTCTAATTACTTTAAATGTCAAACTAGTGAATCTTAGAACTTTACATTTTAAATCGATGAACGTTTTTTTCATCACATGTTTCTGTCTTTAGAGTTTATCGCCTCCATGAGCGGCTTGTAAACCTCCGTAGCGAGTACAATCTGCGCCTCAAGTCAGGTGTGACCATCACACAAATCCCCATGACGCAGATCCCCATGACCCAAGTCCACACAACCCAGGTCCACAGCGCCCAGGTCCTGCAGCAGGCCCCCGTGAGGGTGCGGCCCGAGCTGGATGAAGTCACGCTGCGCTACATCCAGGATCTGCTGAGCTGGGTGGAGGAAAACCAGCGACGGGTGGACGAAGGGCAGTGGGGCTCGGACCTTCCCAGCGTGGAGTCCCAGCTGGGCAGCCAACGAGGCCTCCATCAGTGTGTGGAGGAGTTCCGCTCCAAGATAGACAGAGCTAAGGCTGATGAGGTATGTTGGCACCAAGTATCTGCGACAGTGTTGTAGATGAGGCAGAGAGAGATTTAATCTCAGGAGGAAAATTGGTATTTGGCAGTAGAGCGTTAGCTTAGTGTCCACCTCTGAATCGCTGCACACATCCTGGATTTTTCCGGCAATTTGTGTAAAAGAATGAGATTTTGCAAAGAGGTGGATTTAACCTGGAAGCCTTATGTTTCATAAATGAGACACTAGCAATGACAAGCAAAAAACGTGTTGGGTAGTTATGAACTGAAATGTGGACTTTCTGTGGAAATTGTTGAACAGACTGAACTCTCATCAGTAGTTCTTCTTAATGATCTCTTTCTATGGCGTCTCTCATCTGTTCCAGAGTCAGATTTCACCTGCCAGCAAAGCTGCTTACCGTGACTATCTGGGAAAACTGGAGCTACAATACGGCAAGCTCCTGGTAAATACGAACGAGTCGCTAAAATCAAAAAACACTGTTGTCTTGTAGAGAGGTCAAACTCGACAGCTGTTTTCATTGAAGTTCAGAAACACCCTGAAAATTTTCCTTGATGTTTTAAATATCATCCAGTTTTCTTCCTAACCCTGCAAAAATGTTTCCTAACGTGTCACCATTACTGTAGAACTCCTCAAAGGCTCGCCTGCGCTACATGGACCAGCTTCATGCCTTTGTCACTGCAGCAACCAAAGAGCTGATGTGGCTGAATGAGAAAGAGGAAGAGGAGGTGAACTACGACTGGAGCGAGCGAAACACCAACATGGCAGCCAAGAAAGAAAACTACTCGGTACAGTAATACTGAGATGTTCTTGTGGGTTTCTCATTTCTTGTTATGACGATGGTACTGATATGATTGGTTGTCGTTTCTGTGGAGCAGGGTTTGATGAGAGAGTTGGAGCTCCGGGAGAAGAAAGTGAACGGTGTCCAGACCACAGGAGACAAACTGCTGAGGGACGGACACCCAGCCAAGAAGACCATCGAGGTGGGACGCTGAGCACATGTTGTTGAACTTTAAATATAAATTATTATTTTCTTCTCATATGTGCTTTTTCTTCTCTCCCCTTCCATCCTTCCTCTTCTTCAGGCTTTCACTGGAGCCCTGCAGACTCAGTGGAGTTGGATCCTCCAGCTGTGCTGCTGCATTGAAACTCACCTGAAAGAAAACACTGCCTACTATCAGGTATGATTATCAGCATGACAAGGTATCCACACTTACAGACTGCTCTCCGCATGTCTGGCGAGTTAGCTGGCCGTCACTAAATCTGTCCCTTTCTGCAGGTTTTTAATGTGTTTTAAACCACTGCAGCTTAATTGGTCTACTTTTCTCTCGATCCAGTTCTTCTCTGACGTGAAGGAGGCGGAGGAGAAGATTAAAAAGATCCAAGACACTATGAAGAGGAAGTACACCTGCGACCGCACCATCACGGTCACACGGCTGGAAGATCTGCTTCAGGATGCAGCTGTGGGTTTATTCACCAGTGTTTTGCTCCTTTAAGCTCATCCAGAAACTGTGAACTGGCAAACAAATCCACACCGTTAAAGCAGCATGAAATATTTACTCTTCTGTTTGTGGGAGCTTCGTTTTAGGCTGCATGTCTTTGAATTATTGAATTAGAGTTTGAGAATTTTATGTGCTCTTCCCAGGATGAGAAAGAGCAACTGAATGAGTTCAAAACTCACCTGGAAGGCCTGAAGCGGAGAGCCAAGACCGTCGTCCAGCTGAAACCACGTAACCCTGCTACTCCGATAAAGGGAAAGCTGCCCGTCCAGGCTGTTTGTGACTTCAAGCAGATGGAGGTAAGCCATAGACTTCCTAAGTTGTTTATGGTGAGTGTGAAATTCTTAATTGAGTTTCAACTTGTGTCCTGCTTTGGTTCACTTCTATTACGCTGAAAGGACATAACATTAAAAAATATATACAGTAAAATCTAGAATATGCAAAAACAGACGGTGACTGTTGACCAGCCAGTTATGAGCTGCTGTTTTCATCTTCTTCCAGATCACAGTCCACAGAGGCGATGAATGCGCTCTGCTGAATAACTCGCAGCCCTACAAGTGGAAGGTGCTGAATGATAAAGGCAACGAGGCGTCTGTCCCATCTATCTGCTTCCTGATTCCACCCACCAACAGGGACGCTGTGAACAGTGTTGCCGGGTGAGTCAAAGAACACTCGGCTGAATTTGTAACACATGCACACGGTTGTGTGTGCACACGCTGGAGACTAACCTCCACCTCACGTTCTTCAGGCTGGACGGAAACCTCCAGAGGCTGCAGAACATGTGGCAGACGCTGTTTGTGGACATGAAGAGCCTGCTGTCCTGGCAGTACCTGATGAGAGACATCCACATCATTAAAAGCTGGAACATCAGCATGGTAACAGCACAATGTGAAACCTTTCGGAAAATAGTTTTTGGTGGTATCAATGAAAGCAGGGCTGAAATGACTGCTGTTGGGGTGCATTTTACCTCATGTTGCAATAACATTAGATTTATGCCTGTGAGGCAGAAAAACTCTAATGGGGCTAATAATAGACTGCAAAACTTCAAAGATTACTCAGCTGCACATGTTATGCAGAAATGGAAGTGCGAACTATGTCTAGATGGTATCTGAGGATACGTGGAAGGATATCTGGGTAAGACAGATTAAGATTAACTCAAGATCCTGTCAGTAGATCTGCTGAACAGAACAGTACACATTAGTTATTCTCTAGTATATCAATTTACTGTCAAAACAGTTCATAAAAACTTCACCCCAAAATATTGATAGGTAACGATTATGCATGTGCAGATTTGTTGTTACGATCAATTGATTTTTCTTCAAAAACATTATGAAACATTATTTTTCCTTGGTTTATAGTTGATAATTGCACTCTCCTCGGTACTGTACATACAGACACAGCTTTCTATTGAACTGCTGTTTTCATAATGTTTGATATCAGCCACCATCCTTGTTACCACTGTAGTTTAAGACGCTGAGGGTGGAGGAGTACCGACTAGCACTGAGGAACCTGGAGCAGCATTATCAGGACTTCCTGAGAGACAGCCAGGACTCCCAGATTTTTGGGGCTGAGGATCGTATGCAGGTGGAGTCCAACTACAACCTAGCCAACCAGCACTACAACACAATGGTCAGCTCTGCAGAGCAAGGTTTGCACCGTTTCTTTCTGAAACATCAGTTTCTTTTATCACCTCAGCATTTCCTGAAACATTTTCATGTCTGTGTTCTGTTTACATATTTTTTTTTAAATCATTTTTCTCATTTGCACGAGTTGTGTTTCAGTCATTTGTGTGTAAGTTGACTGTTGCATTCACATTTCAGACTATGTGCCACCCAGAGCAGGTAAGGTGTTTCCAATAAAGTGGCCGATGTGCGCTGGGAGCTTTTGACTGGCTGAGAGCTGTTGTTCTGTCATGTTTCATTTCATGCTTCACCTCAATCAACTTAATCATCCTCATAGATTCTGGGAATCCCTCCTAACATCACTTATCAATGCATTCCTGTCTCTGTGCATGGATTTTAATGGCAGCTGATCCCCACTATTAATCAACGAATGGAAAAAGCACTTAATTGATCAAATTAACACGTGTGAAATATAGCCAACATGGAACAATTAATGCATGAAGAAGTACATTCAGTTTGCAGATCATGGAAAATTCTAATCTAGCTTAATGAGATTTATGATTTTTTTGAGAAATCAGAATTTTTTTTTTTATTCTTAGGAGATTAAATTGGTTAACAAAAATTTAACCATCCAGAGAAACACAGGCAATTCTGTGAAATAACTGCTTTAACTTTTAGGATCCTGAAACTAATACTGCACCTCTTACAGTTAGTTCAAATTCTTAAATTGCTAAAAATGGCTTAGATAAAGAGATTTAGTTGTCTTTTAAATACATATAAAATCCAATATGTGTTGTTCCAACTAGGAGAGCAAGACGAGACTGTGTGCAAAACCTACCTGACGAAGATCAAGGACCTTCGGCTGAGGCTGGAAGGCTGCGAGAATCGAACGGTGACGCGTCTCCGCCAGCCTGTCGACAAGGAACCACTGAAAGCCTGCGCCCTGAAGACTGCAGAGCAAATGGTGCAAAACACAAAGATGAATGCAGAAATAAATATGAGTAAACAATAAGTGGTCTTCTAGCAAGTTATCTTCCTGTTTGTTTGTAACAGAAAGTGCAGTCTGAGCTGGAGGGCTTGAAGAACGACTTGAGCTCCATTGCTGAAAAGACCGAGGAGGTTCTGGCTTCTCCTCAGCAGTCCAGCTCCGCCCCGATGCTGCGCTCTGAACTGGACATGACTCTGAAGAAGATGGATCATGTTTACGGCCTCTCCTCGGTCTACCTGGACAAGTGAGGCTTAGCGATTCTCCCAAGAACTTGCTGATGGATTTTAAGCCACAGCTATGTGTTTGTGGTTTTTTGCTGTTCCTAAAGTGCGAACATCTTGTTTTCAGGCTGAAGACGATCGATGTCGTGATCAGAAACACTAAAGATGCAGAAGACACGCTGAAGAGTTACGAGACTCGTCTGCGCGACGTCAGTAAAGTTCCTGGTGATGAGAAGGAAGTGGAGGATCAGCGCAGTCAGCTGAAGGTATCAAGATGTTTCTGCATTTTCCAGGTTTGTTTCTGTGTCAGACTGCTTCATTTTTGTGGTAACTTTGCTGTTTTCTCTGTGCAGTCCATGCGTGCCGAAGCAGAGGCCGACCAGGTGATATTCGACCGCCTGCAGGACGAGCTTAGGAGGGCGACGGCTATGAATGACAAAATGACGAGGATTCACAGCGAGCGCGATGCTGATCTGGAGCATTACCGTCAACTGGTCGGAAGCCTCCTGGAGCGGTGGCAAGCTGTGTTTGCACAGATGGACCTGAGGCAGCGGGAGCTCGGCCTCCTGGGGCGCAACATGAACTCCTACCGCGAAAGTTACGAGTGGCTCATCCGCTGGCTCGAAGAAGCGAAGCAGAGGCAGGAGAAAATTCAGGCTGTGCCAATCGGGGACAGCAAGGCTCTCAGGGAGCAGCTGGCACAGGAGAAGGTATTGTAAAGGGAAAGAATAAGTTGTGTGGGGCAAAGCGTAGAAGAGTCATCATGCCCTCTGGTGTTCACTGGGGTGTCACAAAAAAAATAAAAAAATTCACTCCACTTATATTTTTGACTCCCCTGGTGTGAATCATGCTTGGTTTGTGAAGTATGCACTGAAATAGTTTCTAATCATGATATCTTCTCTGTTTTAAATCATATTTACAGAAACTCCTGGGAGAAATTGAGAAAAACAAGGAGGAGGTTGAAAATTGCCAGAAAAATGCAAAGGCTTATATCGACTCTGTCAAAGTAAATACTGAAAATTTTCAACTTTTAAAAAAATTAAAGTTTGCTGCTTAACTTAACATTAATTTTTCCTCCTTCTTGTTTTCAGGACTACGAGTTCCAGATTTTGACCTACAAAGCCCTCCAGGATCCCATAGCATCTCCTCTGAAAAAGCCCAAAATGGAGTGTGCATCCGATAACATCATTCAGGAGGTAGGCCTTACAAACACAGCTGTTGAGCTGTTAGCAGTAGGTGGACCAGGTGTTCCACTTCATGTGGACTGAACAGCGTGTTTATTTCTTATTCCTCGTCCAACATATCGGGACATGTTTTGATTGGCTCTAGCTTTCAACAGTCAGACACGGCAGGACCAACAGTTTTTGAACAGTCTGGCTGTGAAGGAAGTAGGGGAAGCTTTCATGATGGTTAACCTGTCACTGTGTTTAGCTGCCAACAGGAAAAATCTGTGCAAATCTCAGCAGAACATGATGGAAACTAACAGAAGGGAAACTAAATGCAGCTTCAATAAAGATCTATAAGCTGCTTGTATTTAATTATGTTGAAGAAGACTGTTAATCAGGCATATTTGTTCTTTAAACATGAAACTAACTCAATGATTATACCGAAATTGTCACCTCTGCCCATTTTGGCATTTTGGGAATACATTCTGCTTTCTCCTCACATTAAAAGTCGAGAGGAAAGCATCGCATATGAAGATATATGACTAAAAAAAAGAATAATCATTCATTCGATTTAGTGAAGTGAATTTTACTTTGTTTTTTTCAGTATGTTACGCTGAGAACGCGCTACAGTGAGCTGTTGACTCTCACCAGTCAGTACATCAAATTCATCACAGACACACAGCGCCGCCTGGAGGAAGAAGAGGTAAGTGTGCACACTCAGTAGACACAACAGTGCAGTTAAGTCCTCACTAATGTAATGTATGGCAAATCATTTTCCATCAAACAGCATCAAAATTGTGTGTCTGTTACCAAGAGTGCAGACATAATTTTAGGCATACAGTGCTGAAGCAAACAATTTCATCCTACTGTTACCGCACATCACATCCCCACTACGGTATATGTCTCTCATTCCCCGACACTATGTGTATTTAGCCAAATCATTTCACACGATCTGTAAACATGACTGTGGTTTGGCCCTGAATTCAGTCACATTTTCAAACTGCTCAACTGCTTTTCCAACAATTTAAATTTGATAATCACTTCTTCATTTCTTCCTGAAACCCCCCACACTCGTATTTTAAAGGCTTCAGGCTTCCTACCTTCTCAGATGCATTATTTTAAAATTTACCTTTGCTTCCCCTCCCTGCCCTTTTTTCTTCCTTTCTAACTTTCTGTTTTGTTTGATCCTTTTGACCTGCTCGCCAGTGCTTTGTCATGATGAGTATTAATCACGTGCTTAAGAGATGAATTAACCCCAAAGCACCAGGTATTTAAAAACAATCCTCTCAGCCCATTTCATTCGTCTTCACGTCAGATTCGTGTCTGTAGTGAAGGGAAGGTTCACGCGTATTTGGAAATCTTTCATTATTGACGGTGTTCTTGGTTCAGTAATAACTTAGGAACTTTAATTTCTCTGGCTGAGCATCAGCTTACTGTAAGATGTTGGTTTTGGCAGTCTAGATATTGTCATTTAATGAGATTTGCAAGCTATTATAATTGTTTCTCTTGCCTTAATAAATCAAATTATAATGTAGCTGATTGTTGACGGTACTGTTTAGCACCACAGCAAATTAAGATTTCACATTCTGATTAGCCTTTAGATTTTTAAAATCCCTGAATGGGAGCGGTGTTTTCACACGTCTAAAACTCAAAGATTAGTTTTAAAGAGAGAGACAAGCAGCAAAGCCAGTCAATTTTTTTTTTTGTTGTTGTTTATTTTACTACTTGTTGTGCCCGATAAATCTGCCAAATCAAACACGCAGAGCTAGCTGCTGTGGCAGCCCCTTATGAACAAGGGAGCTTGATAAATGACAGTTGAGTGATTGCTTCTAATGATTTCCTCTAGCAAATAAAATGTGGAAACTTGTTCTATTACAAAAGAAATCAGCTTCTTCCTAAACCAGACGTCAGTTTAAATTTCAATGTGACAGGTTTCTAAAGTGTTGAACCTTCCTTGTAGGTATCAGTCACCACAACAACACCTTCTTATCTAACAGAACTCATCTCAGACTTGAGGGATCTTGGATTTGTGTCGTGTCACGTGCATTTAAATCCAAGCTTGCTGTGTTAAATGTTACATGAAGTCATGCTGTGTTTGCTGCATCACTATGCTCGATGTTCTTTTCATCCCGATTGCTGCAAAAATATATATGTTTGATTATTTAATCTGCATTCGGCACTTTTTGCATGCTGCTAATTATTTATCATTTGCCTATTTTCTTTCCTATTATTTTACACTTTTCAATAAACCTATTTATGTTAAGAAAATCAATGAGTGGTGGAGAGAAATGTATAAAATTGTGACTGAATTAAATCCTAGCGATTACATATCCAAGTTTTTCACTAAAATACATCACCAGCAGCAAAACCTCCACATCTTCAAAATATTAACACTGTGATGAGTTCACTTGTAAACAGAATTTGCAGTTGTTTTTACCAACTCCATAATAATAATGACCGTATAATATTACCAGACCTTTTACACAGATTATGCATGAAAGCAACTTGTAGTGTTGTCCGGTGTTGTGAAGTAAAGTGTCATACATTGTGTGCCATACGTTAAATGAACGTGAAAAGCATTTCCCAATGCTGAATTATCTCTCCAGTTAAAAATCTGTGTTGTGTATATTGAGCCATAACTATGCCTATAGTTGTATTTTATAATCTAAAACCTCTAACATGCAGCTCCCTTCACTCTTTTATTAATGCAGAAAGCTTCTGAAAAAGTTAAAGAAGCGGAGAGGAAACGGATGGCAGAGATGCAGGCGGAATTAGATAAGCAGAAGCAGTTGGCTGAAGCTCACGCTAAGTCTGTGGCCAAAGCAGAGAAAGAGGCCGAGGAGCTGAAGTTAAAGATGAAGGAAGAGGCCAATAAGAGACAAGACGTTGCAGTGGATGCTGAAAAACAGAAGCAAAACATTCAGCAGGAGCTGCATCAGCTGAAGAGTCTGTCAGAGCAGGAGATCAAGTCCAAGAGTCAGCAGCTGGAAGAGGCGCTCATCAGTCGTACCAAGATCGAGGAAGAAATCCACATAATTAGGATTCAGTTGGAGGCAACAATGAAACAGAAGGGCACAGCTGAGACTGAGTTACAGCAGCTCAGAGACAAAGCTGCTGAAGCTGAGAAGCTCAGGAAGGCTGCTCAAGACGAGGCGGAAAGGCTTCGCAAACAGGTGACTGAGGAGACTCAGAAAAAGAAAAATGCTGAAGATGAGCTAAAGCGTAAATCTGAAGCCGAAAAAGAGGCAGCCAAACTAAAGCAGAAAGCACTGGATGACCTGCAGAAATTTAAACTACAAGCCGAAGAGGCAGAGAGGCGCATGAAACAGGCTGAGGAGGAAAAACTGAGGCAGATTAAAGTTGTAGAAGAGGTGGCACAGAAGTCTGCTGCCACACAGTTGCAAACCAAAGCTATGTCATTCAATGAACAGGCAACAAAACTGGAAGAATCCCTCAAGAAAGAGCAGGGAACTGTTCTTCAGCTACAGGAGGAAGCCGAGAAACTCAGGAAACAACAAGAAGAAGCTAACAAAGCCAGGGAGCAAGCAGAGAAAGAGCTGGAAACATGGAGACAGAAAGCCAATGAAGCCCTCCGCTTGAGGCTACAAGCTGAGGAGGAAGCTCAAAAGAAGAGTCAGGCTCAAGAGGAAGCAGAGAGGCAGAAGGTTGAAGCAGAGCGAGATGCCAAGAAAAGGGCTAAAGCTGAAGATGCTGCACTTAAACAGAAGGAGAATGCAGAAACGGAGCTGGAAAAACAGAGGAAATTTGCTGAACAGATAGCCCAACAAAAACTTTCTGCAGAGCAAGAATGCATACGCTTAAAGGCTGACTTTGAACATGCTGAGCAGCAGAGGGGCCTGTTGGATAGTGAGCTCCAGCGTTTGAAGAATGAGGTGAATGCTGCAGAAAAACAGAGAAAACAGCTCGAAGACGAACTGGCTAAAGTCAGAAGTGAAATGGACGCTCTGCTACAGATGAAGACTGAAGCTGAGAAGGTGACACTGTCAAACACAGAAAAGAGCAAACAGCTTCTTGAGTCTGAAGCGCAGAAAATGAAACAACTGGCTGAGGAAGCTGCTAGACTGAGATCAGTCGCCGAAGAGGCGAAGAAGCAGAGGCAGACTGCAGAGGATGAGGCAGCCCAGCAAAGAGCTGAGGCGGAAAAAATCCTTAAGGAAAAACTGTCTGCTATCAATGAGGCAACTCGGCTAAAGACTGAAGCGGAAATCGCCCTCAAAGCTAAAGAAGCAGAGAATGAAAGACTAAAGAGAAAAGCTGAGGAGGAAGCTTATCAAAGAAAGCTGCTGGAGGACCAAGCTGCTCAGCATAAGCTAGAGATTGAGGAGAAAATCACACACCTTAAGAGCTCATCTGACTCTGAGCTGGTGAGACAAAAAACTATTGTGGAAGAAACTTTGAGGCAAAAGAAGGTGGTCGAAGAGGAGATTCATATCATCAGAATCAACTTTGAGAAAGCCTCAAAAGAGAAGTCAGATCTAGAGGGTGAATTAAAGAAACTGAAGGATCTTGCAGATGAGACTGAGAAGAGCAAACTTAAGGCTGAAAAAGAGGCAGACAAACTAAAAAAGCTTGCTGCAGAGGAAGAGAAGAAGAGGAAAGAGGCTGAGGAGAAGGTGAAGAGGATAACTGCAGCCGAAGAGGAGGCAGCTCGTCAATGCAAAGCTGCTCAGGAGGAAGTCGAACGCCTCAAAAAGAACGCAGAAGAAGCGAATAAGCAGAAAGAGCAAGCTGAGAAAGAGGCAGAAAAGCAGGTCATTGTAGCCAAAGAGGCAGCACAAAAATGCAGTGCCGCAGAGCAGAAAACTCAAGATGTTCTCAGTAAGAATAAAGAAGATAGCCTTGCTCAGGAGAAGCTTAAAGACGAATTCAAAAATGCTAAGAAACTTGCAGAAGCTGCTCAGAAAGCCAAAGAGAAAGCTGAGAAAGAGGCTGCCTTGCTCCGCCAAAAAGCAGAAGAAGCTGAAAAGCTGAAGAAAGCTGCAGAAGAAGAAGCCGCTAAACAGGCCAAAGCTCAGAAGGATGCAGAGAAACTGAGAAAAGAAGCAGAGGAAGAGGCCTCTAAGCGAGCTGCAGCTGAGCAAGCAGCACTAAAGCAGAAGCAGCAGGCTGATGCAGAGATGGCCAAGCACAAAAAAGAGGCAGAACAAGCACTTACACAGAAGTCGCAGGTGGAGAAGGAACTGACACTGGTTAAACTTCAGCTGGATGAAACTGATAAGCAGAAGAAGGTGTTGGATGAAGAGCTTCAGCGAGTTAAAGGTGAAGTAAATGACGCTGTCAAGCAAAAGGCACAGGTGGAGGATGAGTTGTCGAAAGTCAAGATCCAGATGGAAGAACTCCTGAAGCTTAAGCTCAAAATTGAGGAAGAAAACCGGCGCCTGATGAAGAAGGACAAAGACAGTACACAGAAATTACTTGCAGAGGAAGCAGAGAAAATGAAGAGCCTTGCAGAGGAAGCTGCTAGACTCAGCGTGGAAGCTGAAGAAGCTGCCAGACAAAGGCAGATTGCTGAATCTGACTTGGCTGAACAGAGGGCACTTGCAGAGAAAATGCTAAAAGAGAAAATGCAGGCCATCCAAGAGGCTACAAAACTAAAAGCTGAAGCAGAGGAACTCCAGAAACAGAAGGACCAGGCACAGGAAAAAGCTAAAAAACTTTTGGAGGACAAACAACAGATCCAACAGCGCCTTGATAAGGAGACAGAGGATTTCCAGAAATCCCTGGAAGCCGAGCGAAAGAGGCAGTTTGAAGTTGCAGCTGAAGCAGAGAAACTGAAAGTGAAGGTGAAAGAGCTCAGCGATGCTCAAGCTAAAGCTGAAACGGAGGCAAAGAAATTCAAGAAGCAAGCCGACGAAGCAAAAACTCGTCTCCAACAGACTGAAAAACAAACGACAGAAATCGTTGTGCAGAAGTTGGAGACACAGAGGCTACAGAGCACGAGAGAAGCTGATGACCTGAAGAAAGCCCTAGCAGACCTTGAAAAGGAGAAAGAGAAACTGAAAAAGGATGCAGAGGAGCTTCAGAAGAAATCTAAAGAGGTATTGTGGCCTGTATTAACACTGCTATTCAGTTTAAAGACGCTTATAGTTAATATTGTCCTGTTAAACATGTAAGTGACAGTAGAGTGTTTGTGTTAGCATGCTTAAATACATTACAGAAGGATATAGTAGCAGTACAATATGTGTGTGTGTTTTTTTTTTTTTTTTTTTAAGGGGCTGAATTTTGTTTTTATTGGGCAAAGCTAGGTTAGCAGTACCCAGTCTAGCTAAATTAACTAACTGCTAACCGTAGCTTCATAGAGACATGAAAGTGTTATTGATATTTTAAATATATAGATATACTGAGTTATTTCTTCAAATATCTAAGATGCATTTATTGATGAGTGATATTTCACTAACAGTTTACTGCCGTTTTAAAAAAATATATTTTTCTTAACAGATGGAAAATGCCCAACAAGCACAAATTGAGCAGCAGAAAGCTATACTTCAGCAGTCTTTCATCACTGAGAAGGATGTGCTGTTGAAGAGAGAAAAGGCTGTTGAAGATGAGAAAAAGAAGCTTGAAAAGCAGTTTGAGGATGAAGTAAACAAGGCCAAGGCTCTTAAAGATGAACAAGAACGTCAGCGTAAGCTAATGGACGAGGAAAGGAAGAAACTTCAGGCCATTATGGATGAAGCTGTAAAGAAACAAAAGGAGGCTGAAGCAGAGATGAAAAACAGAGAGAGAGAATTGGATGTGCTAGAAAAGAAAAGGTTTGAACAAGAAAAACTTTTGGAAGAGGAGAACAAAAAGCTCAGAGAGAGACTTCAGAATCTTGAGGTTGCTTCAAAGCAGGGTTCATCAACGACAAAGGAAATCGAAGTTCAGACCGATGAGGTCCCGGAGGAACAGCTAGTTGCTATGACAATGGTAGGAACAACAAAGAAAGTTTTCAATGGCTCTGTTGAGGATGGGCTGAAGAAAGATGGAGAATCAATGTTGGCATTTGATGGAATAAGAGAGAAGGTTCCTGCTGAAAGGCTTCATGAAGTTGGTGTCTTGACCAAGAAGGAATTTGATAAATTGAAAAAGGGCAAAGTTTCTGTACAAGAACTCGGAAAAACAGAGAAGCTAAAAGCATATCTTAAGGGAGAGAGCTGTGTTGGAGGCGTCCTGACTCCTTCCAAAGAAAAAATGAGTCTCTATCAGGCCATGACAGAGAAGACGATTACTCCAAACACTGCTACAATGCTCCTGGAAGCTCAAGCAGCATCAGGCTTCATTGTTGATCCAGTGAAAAACAAGCTTCTGTCTGTAGATGAGGCTGTTAAGGAGGAGTTAATTGGCCCTGAACTTCATGACAAGATGCTGTCTGCAGAGCGGGCAGCCACTGGTTTTAAAGATCCTTTTACTGGAGCCAAAATCTCTCTTTTTGAGGCCATGAAGAAGGGACTTATTGAGAAGGATCAGGCCACCAAATTCCTAGATGTACAGCTTGCAACTGGTGGCATTATTGACCCCATCAACAGCCACAGAGTTCCCCTTCAAACAGCCTACAAGCAGGGTCAGTTTGATGCAGATATCAACAAAAAACTCAGCGATCCCAGCGATGACTGCAAGTTATTCATTGACCCAAGCACACAGGAGCAACTCACTTATAAACAGTTACTGGAAAAATGCAACAAGGATGCAGAGACTGGCCTGCTGATATTACCAGTGACAGAGAAAGCAGCTCAAACAGAGAGAACATACACAGATGTGGAGACTAAAGACATATTCAGTAAATCAAACGTTGATGTTCCTTTTGGAAAGTTCAAAGGAAAAACTGTCACCATTTGGGAAGTCATAAATTCAGAATACTTCACAGAAGAACAAAGAAGAGAGCTGATCCGTCAGTACAAGACTGGCAAGATCACAGTGGAAAAGATCATCAAAATTGTCATCACTGTTGTGGAAGACAAGGAGAAGAACAAGGAAAATGTGTTCAATGGCTTGAGGTCTCCAGTCTCTGCCAATGAACTGCTAGAGTCCAAGGTTATAAACAAAGATGTGTTCAACAAGTTGAGTAATGGAAAGATAACAGTTAAAGAGATCTCTGAGATGGATCCTGTGAAGAAGGCACTGAATGGGACGCCCAGCATTGCTGGACTGTTCTATGAACCAACCAAGGAGAAAATGCCTTTCTATCAAGCTATGAAAAAAGAATTACTTTCTCCAGAAACGGCCTTGAATCTTCTTGAAGCTCAAGCAGCAACAGGGTTTATAATTGATCCTGTAAAAAATGAAAGAGTCCCCGTTGATGAAGCTGTTAAGTCGAGTCTTGTTGGCCCAGAGCTGCATGAGCGTCTTCTGTCAGCAGAGAGAGCTATCAGTGGCTACAGAGATCCATACACAGGAAAAAATGTATCTCTATTTGAAGCCATGAAAAAAGGCCTTATCAAGAGAGAACATGGCATCCGTCTGCTAGAAGCACAACTTTCAACAGGTGGAATTATTGACCCCATTAAAAGCTATCGCATCCCACATGAAATCGCCTGCAAGCGTGGGTATTTTGACGAAGAAATCGCCAAGACCTTGAACACAAACACAGACGAGACAAAGGTCTTCTGTGATCCCAACTCACAAGAGGATGCAACTTATGCTCAGCTCTTGAATAAATGTGTCATAGACAAAGAAACTGGACTTCCATTGCTCTCTCTCTCAAAGAAGGCTCCAAAGCCAAAGGAAGACAAACAGATTACAGAAGCTAAAACAAAGGAAGCTTTGAACCAAGCCACCATGGAACTGGAGTATGGACCTTTCAAAGGGAGGAAAGTCACAATCTGGGAAATCATACACTCTGAATACATCACTGAGGAACAAAGGATAGAACTGATTCGCCAGTACAGAATGGGTTATGTGACAATTGAAAAGCTGATAAAGATTGTGATAACAATGGTTGATGAAAAAGAAGACAAAACAAAAGAACAGGCCTGCTTTGAAGGCTTAAGGGCTCCAGTCACTGCCAGTTCATTACTTGATTCCAACATCATTGATAAGGCTACATTTGAGCAACTCCAAAATGGTAAAAAGACACCCAAAGAAGTCAGTGAAACTGATAAAGTCCGGAAGTACCTGCGGGGCACAGACCGCATTGATGGTATCACAATGGGAGATTCAGATGAAAAGTTAAGCATCTATCAAGCAATAAAAAAAGGTATTTTGCAACAGAGCACTGGGCTCACATTACTTGAGGCCCAAGCAGGAACTGGTTTCATAACAGATCCGGTCAAAAACCTGAAATACTCTGTAGATGATGCTGTGAAAGCTGGAGTCGTTGGTCCAGAGCTTCACGAGAAACTCCTCTCAGCAGAAAAAGCAGTGACAGGATACAAAGATCCGTATACAGGCAATAAAATTTCTCTGTTGCAAGCCATGAAGAAAGAGCTTGTACTGAGGGAGCATGCTATTCCTCTTCTTGAAGCCCAGTTTGCCACTGGAGGGATAATTGATCCAGTTAGCAGCCATCGTGTTCCCAATGATGTGGCCATTCAGCGTGGCTACTTCAGCAAACAAATGGCTAAATCTTTCAGTGAACCCACAGGTGATGTTAAGGGCTTCACTAATCCCAACACCAATGGAAGAGTGACCTACAAGGAGCTGCTGGAGAAATGCAAAAGAGAGCCCAACACTGGTCTGTGCTACCTCCCTCTGTCAGAGGTTGAATCTCCTGCTCCTGTTGAGAAGTCTTACCAGTACTCAGAGGAGCAAGCCCAAACAGATCTAGCTAATACTCAAATTGACATCCCACTCAAGAGTTTTGCAGGAAAGAGTATGACCATTTGGGAAGTCATGAACTCAAATTTTCTTCCAGCAGAAGAGAGGCGCCGCCTCATGGAGCAGTATCGCTTGGGGCAAATCACAAGAGAAAGAATGCTAATTGTCATCATTGAAATAATTGAACAAAGGGAGACACTAAAGTCTGAGCAGAGTATGTCATGTGATGTAATCAGAAGAAGGGTTACGATTGATGAGCTGTACAATGCCCGAATTATTGACTTGCACACATACAACCTTCTGAAACAAGAAAAGATGAATATTCGGGAAGTAATGGAAATGCCAACAGTAAAGCAGTACCTCTTTGGCACTGGTTGTATTGCTGGAATTATGTCAGACAGTCCTCCCAAGATCAGCATTTACCAGGCTATGAAGAATGGAAAGATTAAGCCCGAAGTTGCTTTGAATCTCCTTGAGGCCCAAGCTGCGACTGGATTCATGATTGATCCAGTTAAAGACGAACTTCTAACAGTTGATGAAGCTGTACGTAAGGGGCTTGTAGGTCCTGAACTCCATGATAAACTTCTCTCTGCTGAGAGAGCAGTTACAGGTTACAAGGATCCATACACTGGAAAAGTGATTTCTCTCTTTCAGGCAATGAAAAAAGACCTCATATCTGAGGATTATGCCTTAAGGCTTTTGGAGGCCCAGAATGCCACTGGAGGACTGATGGATCCTGAATACTACTTCCATCTCCCCATAGATGTTGCCATGCAGCGTGGATACATCAACAAGGAGACACTAGAGAGAATAACTGAGCCTACTGCGGATGTGCGAGGTTATACTGATCCAACAACAGATGAGAAACAGTCCTATGCTCAGCTGCTGAAAAGATGCAGAGTGGATAAAGAAAGTGGTTTGCGGCTGCTTTCACTGGCAGACAGAAGGCTTCTCTTTAAGGGTCTAAGAAAACAAATCACTGTGGATGAGCTGCTCCGCTCGCAGATTATCAACCAAAAGACATACAGTGATCTCACTGAGGGGATCATCACAGTGGAGGAGGTCAGCAGGGATGTGAAGAAGTACCTTGAGGGGACCAGCTGTATTGCTGGTGTGTTTGTAGAATCAAGCAAAGACCGTCTATCAATTTACCAAGCGATGAAGAAAAACATGATCAGACCAGGGACTGCCTTTGAGCTTCTTGAGGCTCAAGCTGCCACAGGTTATGTAATTGATCCAATTAAGAACCTAAAACTAAATGTCAATGAAGCTGTTAAAATGGGTGTTGTTGGTCCAGAGTTTAAAGACAAACTCCTCTCAGCTGAGCGAGCTGTGACAGGCTACAAAGACCCTTATTCTGGCAAGGTTATCTCTCTTTTCCAGGCAATGAAAAAGGGACTCATTCTGAAAGACCATGGCATTCGTCTGCTGGAGGCTCAGATCGCTACTGGTGGAATAATTGATCCACAAGAGAGTCTCCGATTGCCAGTAGAAACAGCCTATGAACGTGGCCTCTTTGATGAAGAAATGAATGGTATCCTCACTGACCCTTCTGATGACACCAAGGGCTTCTTTGACCCCAACACTGAGGAAAACCTCACCTACCTGCAGCTGATGGAGAGATGTATGATAGACCCAGAGACTGGCCTTGCTCTTCTGCTACTGAAAGAAAAGAAGCGTGAGAGAAAGACATCGTCCAAATCTTCTGTTCGCAAACGAAGGGTTGTCATCGTCGATCCAGAGTCTGGCAAAGAGATGTCTGTGTATGAAGCGTATCAGAAAGGACTTATTGACCACCAGACTTATCTAGAACTTGCAGAGCAGGAGTGTGAATGGGAGGAAATTACTATCACTTCATCTGACGGAGTTGTGAAATCCATGATCATTGATAGGAGGTCTGGTCGACAGTATGATATCGATGATGCAATCTCAAGGGGCTTGATTGATAAGTCGGCCCTGGATCAGTATCGATCAGGAATGCTGTCCATCACAGAATTTGCAGACATGCTATCTGGAAATATGAGCGGAAGCAGATCACGCTCATCCTCCTTTGGCTCCTCTTCTTCCTACCCCATGAGCCCAATACCTTCCATAAAAACACCAGCAACCACATGGACTGACCCAACAGAGGAAACTGGCCCTATAGCTGGTATTTTAGACACAGAGACATTAGAGAAGGTGTCTGTCACAGAGGCCATCCACAGAAACCTTGTTGATAATATAACAGGTCAAAGGCTGCTGGAAGCTCAGGCCTGCACAGGAGGCATCATTGACCCAAACACTGGAGAGAAATTCTCAGTTGCAGATGCAATGAATAAAGGGCTTGTGGATAAAATTATGGTGGACCGTATCAGTTTAGCTCAGAAGGCGTACAATGGATTTGAAGATCCAAGGACTAAAACCAAAATGTCAGCAGCCCAAGCTCTAAAGAAAGGCTGGCTGTACTATGAGGCCGGACAACGGTTCCTAGAGGTCCAGTATCTCACCGGTGGATTGATTGAACCGGATGCTACAGGCAGAGTCTCCATAGATGAGGCCGTGAGGAAGGGCACCTTAGATGCACGCACTGCACAGAAGTTACGAGACGTTAGTGCATATTCAAAATACCTCACGTGCCCTAAAACCAAGCTGAAGATCTCCTACAAGGATGCAATTGAAAGGAGCATGACAGAGGAGGGAACTGGTCTGCGACTACTTGAAGCCTCATCTCAGTCAAGCAAAGGCCTTTACAGTCCCTATAGCATCAGTGGGTCTGGCTCTGCTTCTGGTTCACGGTCTGGCTCTAGAACTGGTTCCAGGTCAGGCTCCAGAAGAGGCAGCATGGATGCTACAGGATCAAGCTTCACAACAACCTTCTCTTCTTCTTCCTACAGTTCCCCAAGCTATGGCCGCAGATACTGATCTGTAAGGGAAGGATATGCTATAAAGCCACAATGCTCACCAGATGCCTAACTCTCAGTGGAATAAAGACTACCTTTATTCTGCTCTGCATGGGGCTGTTACATAACTTTCAAATTGAATAATTTTGTTTATTGTATATGTCACATTTACATTTAGTGTTCATGCTTTCTCATCAGACTTTCTGAATATGTACTGTAAGCAGCTAGCAACCGCTCATTATTTTCAGTATCTATCACAGATGTTTCAAGTGTACATGATATTTTTTAAGTTTAACATCATAAGCATTTACTGTTCCAAAAACACTTAAATGAAATACCGTGTTACACTGTAACCAAAAGTGTTCATGACCCTTAGCTTAAACTGTTAGAACCAAATTGGATGTAAAAACTCAAATTCCTGTACATGTGTATATTTCTGAAAATTTTATCTAAAGAAAGATAAAAAGCAACTCTGCAGAGCAGAATATTGAGTCTCCTGAGGATTAATAAAACCGCTTTAAGGATATGCCAAGCTTCAAGATCTTTTGTCTCCTGGGCAACACTGCCGTACAGACTCTACCCGTATCTGAAGTCTTCTCCATTCCCATTTGTCTGTCTTAAAACCTGGACTTCCAAGAGCAAGCTCCCACAAATGAAACGATAATGTAGCTTAATATGACCATTGACACCGTCAGACACTTCTGGACTTTACACATCAAACTTCAAGACCAACACAATTAAATTCCAGCCTTTCTGGACACTTTAAAAGGTAGGTAGACATTTATGATTTGATTACTTACATTTTGTGATTGTGTAATTCAGGGAAGTCTAATGTTTGTGTTGAATTCTTCTGATTCACAGTTCACCTTGCTCAGATGTCTTCCAGAGACCCATGGTGTAATTTGGACTTTGACCTTCACTGTAATCAAGAATTTTATGCAACAGCACTGAAACACATTTGCGCATATAATATTTTATCAGTTTGTTTTAACAGTGGACCATTTTGAAACTTGCATCCAACCTTGAACTCATTTAAATAAAGGCCTAAACCATGCTTTGTAAGTGCCTGCAAAATACTGTTTAACACTTTACTGGGTTGATGAGTATTAGGAGACGTTTCATGCTGTAAACTGACTGAAAAAGCAGTGCTATCCATAATTTAATAAATAGTGTGTTATCAGGTAAGCCTTTTTACAGTCTGTTCCAGTATGTCACAAATACTTCAAGTATTTTTCCCCCTTCAAAGGCAAATAATGTCTGTACAGTATACTGACGATTATACAGAGCGCAGTTGCTATAAGCCATGAGTTAGCATTTCTTTGAGAAAGACCTTTAAGCTTTGCACCAGACCCAGTATTTGTATTTTACACTACGTATAGCTGTTTTCAGTTAAATCTCCTTTGTAAACACAATGGATCTGTATCATTTTATTTTCATACTCTAAACGTGCATGAATAACTAACATTTAAAAGGTGCAAAAATGAAATCCATCTGTATCCATTAAAGCGTTTTGTTTTGTTATATTTTGAAAGGTTTGAAGGATGTATTTTACTGAGGGTCGTCAAGCCTTGTTTAAAATGGTGTATTTATAATAAAAATGGTGATGAGGAATTTTAATGTAACACCCACCCTGTGTAAATAAACAGGAAAATGAAATGTTTTCTCAAGTGTATTCATTGCAATGAAGAATATTTAGCAGTTTTCAGTCAACTATGAGCAACACATTCACTGATTAAAAATGTCGGTGCATGGTCTATTTTTTTTTTTTAAGTACATCAATATAGACTAGTTTACTGGGGGTTTAATCCTATAATTAAACTTTATTTTTATTCATAGTCTTTATATGACAGTGGAGAAAGTAGCCACAGCTACAAAGTGCACTGATAGGCTGCTGGACACTGGCGCCACCGGGCCCTCTGACCACTGCTGGTTCTCAGTCATCCAGGTCATCGTAGTCAAAGGAGCTTGCAAAGAAAAGCATCTGGACTTCTTTAAGTTGCTTGAAGACGTTTCACCTCTCATCCAAGAAGCTTTTTAGTATCTTGCCCAAGGATATTTGGCATAAGCAGCCAGGATCGAACCACCCACCTTCTGATTTGTGGCTGACCTGCTCTGCGACCTGAGCTACAGCCACAGCATGGATGTAATGCATCGATGGCCAAAACTTCATCCCCTTAGCTATAGATTGAAATAAAATTTTAAAAAGTTATGAGAAAAGAAATACATAATTTAAACCAAATTCATTTACATTTTATTCATATGCTCAGTCTGCAACTGGATTGAAATGTGTATCAGTTACAGAGGGAGGGAGGGTTAATCTTTGGAATTGTCCGGAAAAAATTAAACATACCAAAATTACACTTTTGTACAAAAATTGCATTATTATCCAGTAGTGTGATAACGTTTCAGTGTCAAGTTACTTGATGATGATAAGAGCTCATCTGGAGCTGGGCTAACATGAGAGGTTTACTATATTTAATTTTTCTTCTTCTGCCGTGATTTAAATCTAAGGTTAAAGGTATGTTTGATTTAATTTTCCTCATGTGTGGATTGTTTTGTCAGAGGCACGTTTGATGTCCTTCGGCTACAGCTTAATTTTTCTGTGATGTAAATAAAACAAAAAAACTTTAGTTACAACAAAAATAAATGAGGCAGTTGTTAATAAGTAGCAGGAAAAGAGCTATTCAGATCTAAAAAAAAATATAGATCTGTCGCGTTCCCATTTCTTGAGCTGGGGGTAGATTTGCCAGATCATGGTAAGGTTGAGGGATTTCAGGACTTTGGGTCTGTTCAAGGGTGTAGATTTGGCATGGACGGAAGGGACGTGTCCCCACCAATATCCAGCGATTATTGAATTGTCCCCACCAATAATTTGATCTCTGCGAGTAAAGAAAAACAAACCCGATAGAAAGAAAAAACGATCTGTCAACGTCTCATCCACCCAGCGGTGCAGAAAGAGTCAAATTACGTTCTCTACTGGAGTCCTACGTCATGTGACAAATCTGGCCAATGTGATTGGCTGAGCCTTTCAGGGAGCTCTGTTTAGTTTTAGCAGCGGCAAACCTGCGCTGCGAGGAGGATGGCAGCAAAACGGAAGATCCTGGATATAAGAAAGTATTTTTCAAAGAAACCTGTAAGTCGCTAAAAGTCAAGTTCACTCATAAAATGTGTCCGTCACAATAACGTTACAGGCTATGCTAGGCTTTGGCCCACATCAGTCTAAAATTGTATGCAACCATGAATAACGTGTTTTGGAAACTAACTGCACAACATGCAGCACTATTAGTTCTCTCAGTCTCCCACAGGAGCATTTCTAATTTTGATTAAAACTGTCAGAGAAAACGGCAGCCTCGAGCAGCCAGGATATTAGTTTACAGAGGCTGTTAAAATTATATGTCTAACGTTAAAATGTTGGTGACACAATAATTTCATCCTAGTGGCACTGACATATTCATAGGGTTAATTTTTGAGACAAAATATCATGAGGTCGTTATGATTTTGCAAATATTCCATCTTTTAGTGCAGTTTGCACAAATTGTTTTTAAAATGCACTCAGCCTACAAACATTACTGATGAGTCAAGATCTGCACAAATTGACAGAAACACTGAAGCAGCTACTCGTTTTATTCTTATTGTCATGTATGTCCTATTTGTCAGGTGACAGAAGAACCAACACAGAGCTCAGAGAGCAATGGTGATACAAGATCACAGGTGAAGTTGGATGATGACTTGGTGGTTCATGACTGTATTTGAAGCACATGTGTGGCTGCATGTATTTGGAATGTCTCCCTGTTATTCATCAGGTGACAGGCAGCTCTGCCATGTTGTAGCTCGGACAGAGGTGAAGAGGCGAGGTCACAGGTGACTGACTGATGATTTGGTGCTGTAGATTAACTAGTATTTATTAAATACTAGTTAATACTAAATAATTATTAACAATTGTTAGGCTGCTGGTGTAAATTGATTCATTAGTGTTTATTTGACAAAGAATCTGAATTGACACGTCTCACTTTTTATATGGCATGAATCAATGTGTTATTTTATCATGTGGCAATATGTCCTAGTGCAGTCAGAGGGGAAGAGCCAGGGCCATAGTAATAATTTTAATCTGAGGATAAAACGCATGTACTGAGGCTGGAAGAAGCTTCAGTGCTCTCAGAAGACTAAAAACATGGCTAAGGTCAACAATGACTCAAATGAGATTAAACAATGCTGCTGTATGCCATGTCCACCAGGAGAGCTGGACAGTATAGATGTAAAACAAATATGCCAGCAGTTTATCTCAGTTAACGAGAGGAGCAGGCATGTGTTTGGCTCCTTCACATAGCGGACATTGAGTTGTTGTGTGGGACACCAACAGTCCGTGTCTGTTGCTGTAACAGTAGTTCATGTTTAGAATAAAAAAATCCCAGCTCACTGAGTTGATAGGGGCAATAGTGCCTAAAATGTTGCATAATTTTGCTGAGAGATCTTTTACTTTGTGGTCATCTTAGATGAGTAGTTTTATGGACAAAAACCAGCAGGTCATTCAGTGTTCCCTTAGTGCTAATGTATCAGAGATGTTGGTGTACTGTAACTGAACTAATGTTGTTAATTTCTTAAAGTCATATTCTTTTATTGTCATGACTCTATTTTTATTTTTGTATGATACCTGATTTATATGGAATATGGCTGAAGTAAACTAAAGTCTAAAATACTTAAGCAATTTAACATTATATATTTCACATATAAAACTATGAATTGTAATTTTAAATGGTTTAAAAGCATGTAGAATAGCACATGTAGGCAAGTATATTTCTCCTTTTTTTTTTTTTATCAAGAAGCAAAGACAAAAAAGGGGGGGGAAAAGAAACAGGGCAGGGTTCGGTGGTTGAATCATCCGTCCCCACCAATGCCAAAACCAAATCTACGCCCTTGGGTCTGTTCATGGTAATCTTTTTTTTAAAAACAGATTTTTTTTTCATGTACTCAAATTCATGGGACATTTTTATTATAATGTAGTAAAAGAAAAAAAGACCAATTCTGAGCCAGGAAATTAACATGAAAATGAAATAATTCATACAAACAGTATCTCTTCAAAAAAAAAAAAAATCTACATTTTTTTTTGTCTCTGTCTTAAATGTTAACCCTCAGGCTGTGTTTGAAAATATTTATTGTGTGTAAAAATTGGCTTATGTTTTTTTGTTTGTTTGTTTTTGATGGGCAGTAAGAGATAAGAGGTATTCAACTATTTGATTTCACCATCTTATAGTTTCTCCTCAAACATTTGTGCTGCCTTCAGAGGCTCCAAATGCAATTACACTGTAATAAATCAGTAATTTCTTAAATAGGATTTAATTTACATAAGTAGGCTATATATCATATTTCTATCTAGAAGATAACAAGGATCTGTTCATTTGCTCCTCCTTGAAAAAACTGCAAATAATAATAAAAAAAAAACCTTAAATAAAAGTGCACGTATTCACTTTTTCTTGGTTTCTTTGGTTCGTTCCCCAAATTATCCTTAAAAAATTTCAAAGCACCAAGTTCTTGAAATGCTTTATGCAAACCAGCACCACATCTTTTGCCTCTCAAAACTACCTCATGTCGCTTTCATCATATGCATTGTTTAAAAGAAAGTCGGAAAAACCTGCTGTCAGTTTTATTTATATAGCGCTGTTATGGAGGCTGATACAAGATTGTGCAGGGTTTCACTGCAATCAGCAGAAGAGACCCAGTTACTGAAGCAAGTGTTATAGCTGTGCAGCACAGTGGAAAAAAAATACTTTGCAGCTGACACCTGCACTGGGTGGATTAAAAAAAAAGTCCAAGGTTTTGGTGAAGTTTTGCAAAACTTACTCTCAAACTAACGAAATTATACGAATGACAGTCATACTGTACAAATGACATTTTGCTGTAGGTTTATCTTTACTTATAAAAAATTGTCTAAAATGTACATTTCGTTCGAAGATGTAATGAGAAACATTTTTGCCCCAGAGTGACCTGACATTAGCAGCCTGCTCTGACCAATCAACTTGCCAAATTTGATTGGTCAGGCAAATTGAGAAACTCAGCACTTGATTGGCTCACTGCCCGTGGGACAATGAGAGTGACAGATTTCCCAGACTTGAAATTGATACTTTTTCCTCTGTATCTCTCTCTCTCTCTTTTTTTTAAACATAGTTCACGTTGGGTCACACGAGTGGGCCCATTTGGTTGATTTAGTGCGGACACCACGGTAATGAAATGTCCATGTCTTTACCTAAAGACTCAGCAGGGACAAACGACTACGCAGGGAAGCCAAAATGCGCCCGGTGCCGACACCACGGGATTATCGTCCCGAAGAAGGGCCACACAAAAATCTGCCCTTTCTTGAAGTGCCAGTGCTGGAAATGCTACCTGATAACGGAGAGGACGAAGATCGCCGCCCTACAGAGGGAAATGAAAAGAGCCATGAAAGAGACCCGGCCCGGAGCCAGAAGGGTTAACGCGCAGGGGGACAAGGCTTTTGGGACCTCGAACCCAGATGGGGGTGCTCCATCCACATCTGAACCGATGTGCCCGCCACCCGGAGGAAGCCCGGAGAAGGGTGCACCCGCCTACCCTTGGAGTAGGCCTGAGGCGGGAGGACAGCCCGAGTCCGGCTTTCGCGACAGCAGGGATGTGCTGCCGTCGGC